AAATACAGAATTTTATAAGTCAAGTAAAAATACAGCTAAAAATCTCAACAATTAAATCAAACAATAAACAAATACCTAAATTTCAACATGGATTATTAAAATAGCTCATTTGGAAGAAAGGAGAAAAGAACCTAGCTTCTGAACTCAGGGTTTTTTTTAAGTATTCTTTAGAAACTTGATACAATTAAAGTACATTATTTTTATCTTATGTGTATGAGTATATTGACTGCATGTGTGTAAGTGTATCCATGTCATGCAAGCCTGCAGAGGTCAGAAGAGGGCATTGGAACCCCTGGAACTTCAGTTTTAGGCAGTTGTTAGCCTTCATGTGGGTGTTGCGAACCAAACCCAGGTTTTATACAAGAGCAGCCAGTGCTCTTAACTGCCAAGACAACTCTCCAGTCCCCATACAATTTATTTGGTCTTAGTTTCCAACTTTCCTAACTCCTCCCATACCTGCACCTATCTCCATACCTGATCATCTCTGTATTCTTGGGTATTCCCTGGATATTGCAGACCTACCAAGGGTCATACCCTTGAAGAAAACTGACTCTTGCTGTCCCAGAAGCTACTAAGTGTCAATATCCCCTTGGCTAAGGGTGGCACCTCAAAATCCACCTTCAAGCCCCCATGTTGGGATTTTGTCTGGCTTGAGCTTAAGCATGCCTTGGGTGCATTGCTGCAGTTGATCTTAGTTTATATGTGCAAATGCCCTGCTGTCTGGAAGGAAAAGGCAGTTTTCTTGTAATTGTCCATCATCTCTGGCTCTTAAAATCTTAAGATTCTTAAAATCTTAATTCTGCTTCCTCTTCCACAAAGATTTTGGAGAAAGTTCCATGTGTAGCTGAGAATAAAGCATATTCACTGATGTTTGGGTGAGATGTTCTGTAAATGTATGTTAGGTCTCACTGATTTATGATGTCATTTAATTTGGGTTTCTTTATTTAGCTTTTGTTTGGATGGCTGATCTATTGGTGAGAATGAGGTGTTGAAGATTTCTGTGATTTTAGGTATTTTTCTATGAAGTTGGTGCCCATTTGTTTGATATATATATAATAATCATATCTTCTTGATGGATTTTTCCTTTGATGAGTATGAAATATCCTTCCTTATCTCTTCTGACTAGTTTTACCTAAAGTCTATCTTGCCAGATATTAGAATAACCACACCTGTTTGTTTCTTAGTTCTATTTGCTTGGAATACCTTTTTCCATTTTTTACCCTAAGGTAGTATCTATAGTTGATGGCAAGCAATGTTTCTTGGATGCAACAAATTGATGGATCCTGTTTTCTTTTTCTTTCTTTCTTTTCTTTCTTCTTTCTTTTTTTATTTTTATTTTTTGGGGTTTTTTTGAGACAGGAATTCCCTGTAGCCCCAGCAAGTTTTGAACTCACTATGTAGACCAGCCTGGCCTCAGTCTCACAGAGATCCACCTGCCTCTGCCTCCCGAGTGTTCAGACTAAAGGCATGTGCCATCATGCTTGTCTTAGATCCTGTTTTCTACTCTAATTGGTTATTCTGTGTCATTTTATTGGGGAATTGGGATCATTAGTGCTGAATGTTATTATTGTTAATTAATGTTATTAATGTTAATTGTTAATTAATGTTTATTAATTCCTAATATTTTGTTGTGGTGTTGTTTTCTTAGATCTCTTTTTGGTAGCTGTTCTAGAATTGTTTATTTCTCGTGCCCTCATTGGTGTGTTTAATCATCTCTTCAGATCAAGTATTTTTTTTAATAGCCTCTGTAGAGATAACTTAGTGGACAGAATTCCTTAAATTTTTTAATATGAAATGCTTTTCTTTCTCCTTCCATTACAATGATAATTTTTATGGATATGCTAGCCTGTCTTGCATCTGTGTTCTCTTAAGACTTGTAGGACATCAGTTCAGGCCCTTTGACTTCCATAGTCTCCACTGAAAAATCAGTTGCTAATCTAATGATCTCACCCTTATATTTTACTTGATCATTCTCATTCTCTTGTGGTTTTCAGTATTTTTTATTTATTCTATACACTTAGTGTTTTGAGTATTATCTGTTATGGGGAGTTTCTTTTCTGATCCTGTCTCTTTGGTGTTATTTATTCTACTTTTTAAATTAAATTTTTGTGTATTTCATACATAACATCTCAGTCAGTCTTAATCATCTTTATACTCCATTCCCCAATGGCACCCTCTCATAGCCCCCCCAATGGAATTCATCTATTCTGTCATTTTTCTTAAGACCTGTTGTGTCAAGTTAGTGTCCCCAGACATCCCTCAGTGCAAGTTCATCCACTGAAGTCTAATCAGCCTATCTAGAGTCCCTCACTCTATGAAGACCAGCTTTTCCTCACCCATCAGTAATCAGTTGTCAATATTTCTTCAGCTAAGATTGGAATCAGCTGTCCACTTCCCCAGTTCTCTCCTGGGTTTTTGTCTGTTCAGTTTTGCATGAGTCATGTGCATGCTGACACCATTGCTGTAGGTTCATATAAGCAAGGTCCCAGGAGCTCGTATGGCTCTATTTCCCTATGGTCATGCACCTCCTCTCTGGCTCTTTACAATCTTTTTGCCCCCTCCTCCACAATGGTCCCTGAGCCCTGGGTGGGTGGAGTTTAATATAGGCATCCTGTCCAAGGACCAGCATTCTGCAGACTTTTAGTCTTTACACTTTGACCATTCGTGACTTTTTGTGTTCCTGGCCCTCTGTTGCATGAGGGGGCTTCATTAATGAAAATTGAGATATTTATTATTGTCTTCTTTAGCCATTGTTCTATGTCCTGTGAGCCTTAGGTGTAGAGGTTGGACTGTAGATGTGCCACTTAGACTTGGGCAATTCACAGACAATGTCTGTGTGTGACCAGCTGTGGTACTTTGTAATAGTCTCCATCTGATGCAAATAAAGTTTATTTGATGAGTGGTGACTGGGATATTTGTCTGTAAATATAAGGAGACATATTTTGTACATACTAAGAAATTACATTAGTCTAAGGATATGACACTTTTGGAGTTTTCTCTAAGATTTATGACCGCTCCAGCCATGTGATTTGGCTATATTTACAGTATGACATATGAGTTTCCTCCAACTGAGTGGGTTTTTAGTCCAATTAGATTACTGTTAATTACCTCCAAGATAAAGTGCCACTACTGCACCAATGTTATATGCTGTGCAGGTCATTGGTGTGGTTATTTGGTGCTCTGAATGCCTTGTGCACCTTGATATGTATCTTTCCTTTTAGGAAATTTTCTCCTGTAATTTTGCTGAAAATATTTTCTGGGCTTTTTTCCTGAGTTTCTTCCTCTTCATCCTTATAATTTGAAGGTTTGGTCTTTTGTGATATCCCAGAGTTTCTATATATTCAGTTCCTGGGTTAATTTAGCTTTAATATTCTGTTTGACTTCATGATCCATTTCCTCTGCCTTGTCTTCAAAACCTGATATTCTCTTTTTGACTTTATCCAATCTATTGGTGAGACTTCCCTTGGAAAGTTTTTGATTTCTTGAGTTTTTCATTTCAAGTTTTGTTTTAGTTTGACATTTCTTCAGAAATTCTATCTCTTTATTGAATTCTATTTTTATATCTTGAATTATTAGATGTATTTCATTCTGATATTTGCTTGAGTTCTCATGGTCTTCAGTTAGTCCTTTATTAATATCTTCTTTGAGTTTCTTGGATATATTTAAAATTGTTATTTTGAGCTCATTGTCTTGTCTCGAGTTCCCTACTTGCTGTTCTAGCTTTGAATCCAAGCAGTCCCCTGTAGTGTAGAAGGTAGGGTCTTTGATAAGATATATGATGGGCAGACGGGCTGGGGATTCTCTAGCTTCCATTCCATTTGACCTCCACTGTTCACAGGGAGGGCAGTCTCTATGCTAAACTAAACTGCAGACAGAGGGTCCTGGAAATTCCTACCTGTGATTCAAGGTAAGCCTCCACTGGTTCCAGGAGCCCAGGGGAGGGTGAGAACCCTGCAAACCAGTATAGCAGGAGGACGAGGTCTAGGGAGTCCCTATCTGTGGTTCTGGGTTGGATTCCATAGAGCCCTGGAACCAAGAGGTGGGGAGTCAGATATTTGGGTTTGAAAGAATGCATGAAATCTGGTGTGGGGAACTATGGGGTTTTTGGATGGAGGAGAGTCAAATATCATTAATATGTATTATATGAAATGCACAATATTTCAATTAAAATATTCACTAAAAAAGAAAACAGAAGAGAATCAAACCTTATCAGTACAATAAATGAGCAATCTCCAAAGATGAACATTAACAGAAAAAGAATAGAACAAACAATATCCAAAAGAAATTAATTAAATAATCAAATTATGCCTTTATAGATCAATAATAACCTTGAACATAAATTGACTAAGTTTTCTACTTAAAAGATACAGACTGGCCAGGCATGGTGGCCCACACCTTTATCCCAGAACTTGGAAGGCAGAGGCAGGCAGATCTCTGTAAGTTCCAGGCCAGCTAGGACTACAGGGAGACCCTGTCCCAAAAAGTCCAAAAAAAAAAAAAAAAGAGATACAGACTGGTTTAAACCAAAGTGCAACAACATGCTGTCTACTAGAAACTCATTTAACAAGTAAAGACACATACAGACTAAAAATCAGAGGATGGAAAAAGTTATTCTGTGCAAATAGAGACCTAAATGGAGCAAGAGTATTTATTCCTGTATCAGACAAGATAGAAACTGTAAAAATGGACACAGATGGCACTACATGATGATTAAGAAATAAATTCAACAAGAAGATGCAACATTGTTAGAACTAAAGGGAAAGATAGGATCCAGTGCAATAACCATGAGAGATTTCAATACCCCACTTTTATTATTGGACATATCACACAGAAAAAAATGTCATCAAAGAAATATTAGAGTTAAGCTATGCATGAAGAAATGTATTTAACATTTACAGAGTGTAGAAAACCAATGGAATGGAGCATTTATTATTTTCTTTCCTCCTCCTTCTCCTCTTCATCATCATCATCATCCTCATCCTCTTCCTTCTTTTTTGTAGTCCTGCTTGAATCTAGCTCACATGCTTATATCAGACTACAAGGCGGTGGGTTCTTCAGCATGCTCCTCCTCCTTTTATGAGCACCAAGACCAGTGTTGAGATCTGATGAGGAAGGGAAGAGGAAGGTTCATTATTCTCTTTAACATATTCTACAGAATAGATCATGTATTAGGCCACAATGTGACTCTAAAAACATTTTTTAAAAATTGAAATCAGGGGCTGAAGAGATGGCTCAGTGGTTAAGAACACTAGTTGTTCTTGCAGAAGACCCAGGTTAAAATCCCACATGGCAACTAATGACTGTCCATAACTCCAGTCCCAAGGGATCCGACAGCCTCTTCTGACCTCCACAGGCATTGAACGACATGGGTGCACTTACCTACATGCAGGCAATACATGCATACACATAAAATAAAAATAATAAATAAAAATTTTTAAAAATTGAAATCATATCCTGTGTTTTATTCAGACTGATGAAATTGGAAGTAAACAACAAATGAAAGTTGATAAAGAATAAAAATTCATGGATACATAGCAATACACTTCTGAAAATGGACCATTGAAGCAATCAAAAGGATAATTTAAAAATCTTTTGAAACAAATGAAAATATACACTCAACACACTAAAGTTTATAGGATACAGCAAAAGCAGTGCAAAAAGAGAAATTTACAGCAGTAAATGCCTACATCAAAAACGGAGGATGAAGAGGAGAAAGACCTCAAAGAAATCAACTATTATGCATCTCCAGGACATACCAAAACAAAAGCAAACCAATTAGAAGATTAATAGAAGGAAAGAATTGACAAAGGTCAGAGAAGAGATAAGTGAGAAACAAAAATAGGAAGGACAAATTAAAGCTGATACTTTGAAAAGATTTTAAAATTTTTCCCACACCTTTAATCCCAGCACTCAGGAGGCAGAGGCAGGCAGATCTCTGTGAGTTCAAGGCCAGCCTGGTCTATATAGCGAGTTCCAGGACAGTTGGGGTTACAGGGAGACCCTGTCTCAAAAAAGACCAAAAAAAAATATTTGGCAAACCTTTATCTAGACCAGAAAAAGAAAAGGCTGCAAATAAACAAATTTACTAATGAAAAAAGTCTACTTTACAACTGAAAATGGAGAAATACAAAGGATCATTAAAGAACAACCACATTCCAACAAACTGGAAAATCTAGAACTGATAAATTTCTAGATTCATAAAACATACAAAAATTTAGCCATGAAAACATAAGAAGTTTAAATAGATCAATAATGAATTGCAAGATTAGATCAACAACAACAACAACAACAACAACAATAATAATGATAATAATGTTTCCCAACAGAAAGATCTTTAAGAAAGTCTCTCAGCAGAAAAAGTCCAAGACCAAATGGCTTCATCAATGAATTCTATCAGACTTTTAAGGAAGAACTAAGACCAGTTCTCAACAAGGAGGCAATTCTTTCAAACTTATTCTTTGAAGTCAACACTATCATCCACTGTGATACTAGAAACAAAGGATGCAAAAAGAAAAGAAAACTACAAAACAAAATCTCCAATGCACACAAGTGCTACAATGCTCAATAAACAATAACAAATCAAATCAAAGAAAAATATAATAAGATCATCCACCATGATCTTTATTCTAGGGGTTCAAGGATGATAACATGTGCGAATCAATAACTGGTTTGCCATATGGACAAAAGAAAGAAGAAAGATAATAGGATTAGTCTAATAGGAAAAGAAGTTAATAAAATTAAATGCCCATTCATGATCTTAAACTCTGAACAAATTAGGTATATAAAGGATATTTCTTAACCTAGTAAAGACTATATATCATAAATACATAGCCAATATCATTCTGAATGGCGAAAAGCATTTCTGCTAAGATCCAGATCAAGACAAAGGTGTCTATTCTCACCACTCTTGTTCAAGATAGTATTGGAAAGATTAAATGGGATGGGTGATGAGAGGGTTGGATAAAGGGGGCAATAAATGCAGGGATAACTAACATTAACCTAGAGAAAATCCTATCTCTGTTGTAGCTCTAGACAAATGAAATTTCTTACTGTATGCTAAATGTGGATCCTTTATTTACCAACAACTATACCGTACACACTCGCCAAAGAATCTTCCTTTTACAACAGATGAAGGCTGTTACAGAGTTCCACAACTGGTCATACACAGAGAAGATATATCTGAGAGGTGCCCAGCCCTAAGTGACACATCTACAGTAAAACCTCTACTCCTAAGGCTCATGGAACATAGTAGAATAGGGGGTAGAGAAAGTACTAATACATCCCTCAACTCTCACCAGCAAAGTTTTTCATGCAACAGAGTGTGATGATTGCAGAAGGCTGAAGGCCACAACTGGTCAAGGTGTAGAGAATAAAGGACACATAGTAAATGCCCTTGGATAGGATTCATATTAAACCTCAACCATCCACGACTCAAGGACCATTGCAGAAAAGTGGGTAGAAAGATTTTAAGAGCCAGTGTTGGTGCATGAACATAAGGAAACAGAGTCTTCCAGGTTTCTGAGAACTTGCTCGTGTGAGCCTACAGCAATGGTGACAGCATGCACAAGAACCATGCTGTCTCAGTCAGTTAAAAACCAGCATAGAACTGGGGAAATATGCAGCAGGCTCCAACCTTAGCCAAGGAACTATTGACAACTGATTACTTCTGGATGAGGGAAAGTTGATATTATTTAAGGGAGTGACTCTAGATAGACTGACTAGACTCCAGTGGGTGAACATGCACCCATGGATATCTGGGTACAAAAGCTTGACCAGATAGGCCTTAACATATGATAAAATGCATGAAATCCACTGGGGGAACCTCTGGGGGATTAGGATGGGTGAAGGGGTCCAAATATGATTAATATTTTTTGTATGAAATTCACAAAAACACAAAAAATTAAAATATATACATTCTCAGTGATTTAATCATAAAATGAAGCCATCTACCACCTTTAAATGCTTATATCGTTTTCTATTGTTAATGTACCATAATTATTTTAATTAGTTCTCTATCAATGTTTTTTTTAAGATTTTATAATTTGTTGTTATTGTTGTACATTCCTGGGAGTAGAATTGTTGAATATGCTAGTTAAATCCCTTTAGAGGTTACAATAGCAATGTTTAACATGATTAAAAACATGACATCTAAAAAAATTTTTAAACTTTTATAAATCTTTCATGTGGATACCTACTAATGTAGAACCTCCGCAAGATTTATACATATATAAAAAGAGTTAAGTGGAGTACCCTACAAAGGGAGGACAATACCCCAACCAGATACTTCATCATAGCAAACACCACCCCCCACGAGCACCAGGAATGGGTCAATTTACTTTGAGTTGTTGACCAGTGGGTTCCCATAGATCCCCAAACATTATAAGCTAATGTCATTGCTCTTAGTTACCTTCTGGAACTTGATAATAAGACTGTATTGCTGAATACAACACATACCTGAGTCATAAAACATGGAAAACTCAAGTGGGTACTGACCTGGAAGTTTCATCCCTACTGGTTAGTTTTCCTGGTGCAGGAAGGTGCTTTGCAAGCTATTGAAGAAGTAAAGTAATCATTAACCTTACCCAGCTAAGAACCCAGTGAGCTATAATAATGACTGTCTTGGCAAGATATGTTCATTAGTGCAGTAGTAGCACCAATGTTATGGGAGTAACAAATCATCCTCTGGTTGAATTTAAGGTTCACTCCACAAGATAGGACCCATACCTGACATGGTTATTGAGGTCAATAACCTGTGGCAGTATAGGTTACAAGCCATAAGGAGAACCTACTATGAAGAGTCTACTAAATGGACATTGTATTAAAATGACTCCTTAAGCTATACACATAGATTACTACATCTCTCAACCCTCATCAGAGAAGCTTCGTCTTGCAGTTGAAAGGAATTAACAGTGATTCACAACTGGGAAATGTGCAGAGAATAAGAGATTGCAGAATTCTCAGCTCCAAATGGGTCATCTTTATCAAACCTCTCATTTTAAGGCTCAAGGATCTTCATGGAAAAGGGGACAAAAAGATTACGAGTAGATGACTGTTATGAAAATAGTACTTTCTGGACACAACAGGGAAGTTGCATGTATGAACTCATAGTAATTGTGTCAGCATGCTCAAGTCCTGCTCAAGCACAAACCAGACAAAATCCCAACACCAGGGGTGGGTGCATGAAGTCTCACTTTAAGTTGAGGAATTATTGGCATTTGATAGCTGCTGGGAAAGGAAGAGTCAATCTTCTTTAAGGGTGTGATCCCTGGCAAGTTGACCTTAATCCAGGGCACCTAAGAGTATTTGAGTAACACAAATAGAGCTCAATGAGGAAAAAAAAGGATACAAAGTTGAGTGGATAAGGAGGTTGGGGTAGATCCGGTGAGGTGGGGGGAGGAAGGAACATGATAAAAATACACTGTGTAAAGTTTTCAAATAATTAATAAAAATGTTTTTAAAAATTAGGATTAAAAGATAGTACTGGAAATTTCAGTCAGAAAAATTAGGCAAGAGAAAGAAAGAAAAAACTTGCAATATGAAGGTAGGATATCAAATTATCCCTGTTTTTACATTTGATCTTAGTCAAATGATTGAGAAGTGGACCTACACATTTTGAACACAAGATATATAGCAGTGAAGTTGGAACTGACCTGGAAGCTACTTCCCACTACACAAGCTGCTAAGGGAGAACATCAATCAATGGTCCATCACCAGCTTCAAGGCCAAATAAACCCCATCGATGACCAGCACAACAAAGGGTAGTGGTATAGTAGTGGCACTTTTATCTTGGGGGTAAGCAACAGCTACTTAATTGGACTTATAGCCCATTCCATGGGAAGAAACTCCTGTGTGGTAATACACATGGCTGGAGAGGTCATAGGTCTTAGAGAAAACCCCAATTCTATCACATCCTTCAACAACTGTAATTTCTTACCATGTGGAAAATATGGATCCTTATATTTACAGACAAGTATCCCAGTTACCACTCATCAAAGAAACTTCTTTTGCACCAATGACTATTATAGAGTTTCACAACTGGCCATACACAGATATTGTTCTGTGAATTGCCCTAGCCTATGTGGAACATCTATAATGCAATCCATAAACTTAAGGCTTATGGAACAGAG